AACACCTCAGGGTGGTCCGGGCCCCCTGACACTAATACCAGTCACATCAGAGGCCAAGAAGAATACTGCTTGGGATGTGAGGCAGATGCCATCTGCCACTGTCCTGTTTGTAGCCCCAGTCAGCCACCTGGGGAAGCTGTCAGACACGCTCCTGGGTGGCCTCAAGAAAGGAAAGTCTCCCATGAGAGCACTCAGGGATAAGCATAAGTGAAATGCTACGGAAGGCAGTAAGAATCACGTAAGGGACCAATCTGGGATGGGGGTGGGGGACTCAGCACTGAAGGAAGGAAGGAAAGGATCCTGAACGAGTGAGTGTCTCTGGGTCTTCCAACCAAAACCCATCTGGACCAACTGGATTTTGTTAAACATGAAGAAATAGTTTTCAAATACATGCATATATTATATATATATAATATATATATATATATATTATATATATATATATAATTGTATTATATATTTTCATTGACTTCCCCTCTCAGTGATCAAATAATATTTGTTTTATGATTTAGCTAGCCTATATTTATGTGCTATAAATATAAAGGGAAAGTGGTGACATTTGCTATCAAGCACATTGTGATATTTTCTTAATCTCAAATAGGCCAATAAAGAGTTTTGGAGAAACATACTGTAGCCACATATTTTAGGGGGAAGTGGAGTGGATGGGGGCTTCCTTAAATTTCTTCTGCACCCTTGTTCAAAAGAGACAATCAGCACTGTTGGATAGGTGGGGAACACACTAAAAGCATCTACAAAGTGTATTTAGGTACATTTTGCAGGGTAACTTGATTCGAGAGCAGCGCTGTCCAATAGAACATTGTGCAGTAATGGAAACGCTCTGCGTCTGAGCTGATCGGTACAGCAGCCACTAGCTGCACGTGGTTACCGAGCACTGTAAATATGGCTAGTGTAACTGAGCAACCCAATTTTAAATTTTAATAGGCGCATGTGACTCACGGTTGCCATATTGGACAGTGCAGTTTTAGATCAATAGAATCTTCTATTTTCTAAGAAAAGATTATATTATATGTTTATTAATCATATGACAATACTTCCTAAAACAGTTGAAGAGGAAAAGAAAATTACTTGCAGTAGACACACAATTCAAGGTAGGAATTCTGTTATGTTCCTCTAGTGCGGAGGTGCTTAATGAGAGAACGCACACTAGATCCTCTTTCTTTTTTCTATCCTCATTTCTTTTTATGAATAAAAAGAAAACACAGTCATTTTAGTGGCTGGTCAAGCCTTGACTAAGCAGTTGACACTCATCAAGGGAAAACATCTGTTCAAAAATCTCTCAAAGTAACTGTGGATTTTAAAACTCTTGCAATTAAAAGCAAGTCCTCAGGCTTAACCAACAGCTGTATCATCACTAGAGTTCTCAAATTATTAGTCATACAGCAGATTAAATGACACTGTAACTTAACAAAGTTTTATAAGTGTTCTTTCTCTGTGTTCTAGTGGAATACCCAGAGAATAAACTGTGTTTCTTTAGATCAGAAAAAGTTTTGCTATAGACTTTCAAATTTAAAATTAGTATTTATAAAGAGGAGAAAGGTGAGAAATATTTAGTTTGACCTAAAATCTCTGGCAGGCATTCTTGCTAAACCAAATTTTTTTGGCTTGAAAGCGACACTCAGGTTTCACTTTTGTTAAGTTATAACACAAATTCATCAGAACAGTTAACAACACAGCACATGTAGATGGAGCTTAGAAATCTGTCCAGCTACTCAAGGGGGAAAAAGAATTCTAGAACTTTAAAGTATCTTTACCTTGTAATGAATAAACTGGTCCATTTTCTTCATTCTTAGAGTGCTTACTTCTGAACTGACTTGGAATATCTAATGAAAGGTCTTAAAAAGAAAGGAAAACAGATGACTGTTAAAAGCTTGTAACTACACTCAAAATACATCAGTTTTTGAAATTATTTTTTAACATTTATCTCTTTACTGTCTTCATTTTCAAAGGAAACATTATTTTAACACACTACCTTACTTCCATATGCAAAATATGCCTTACCTAGGAATGGATCAAACTTTCTAGATTCTGTCCCACATAGGAGGCAGTTAACTTCATTTTGGAGAATGCCTCTGAATATCGCCGTGGTGACTGTAGATGCTCCATTTCTGAAGAAAATCACCACACAGGAAACTCAGTGAAAAAACTAAATATATCTAAGAGCTCCCTTTGGGGGGACATATACATCATATATATTCATTTAAATTTTAAAAATACAAAACCTTCAAAGCTCTAATGATGTATATGAAATAAAAGGTTTAAGCCACTGACTGGCCACCCCCCCAGCCCTCTTTCAGTCTCCCACTTTCTCCACAAGCAACACTGAATGCTTGCCGTTACTAACAAACAGATCAGTCCAGAAGGGCCCCTTTCCTCCCAAGTGTACCCCTCAGAAGAGAGGGAGCTGTACACTGGAGCCTTTGCAAAGCCTCCTATTACTCAGGGAGCTCTCTCACTTTACTCTGAACAACAACTTCCATCAAAGATGGTTTTAGATTTTTGAGATGGTTGTATTTGGGGGGGAAAAGGTAAACAAATTTAATACATATTTAGTAATTACTGACGGAGGTATCACTTCACAGCTGGAGTGCCGGGTGTTACTGTCAACAAGCCTTTTAAAAAGCTCACTTAAAACTACTATAATTCCACCATTATCCCCATTTCTCAGACCAGGAAGCTGAGGTTCAAGGTTAAATAACTTGGTCCAAGTTCACACAGCTGGTCTGACATGAGCACCTGCTCCTAACACTGTGCTCCTTTTCTGAACTGAACCGATATTAATGGATACTGAGGATGCTTCATTTGCGTGCTGTCATTAACAGGGCTGCAGCAGACACATACCCTCACCTAGCGCATTAACACATGTGACGGCACTTCTGCAGTTACTTAGGCCTGTGAATTGCTCTTTTTTCTTAACAGCAGTTTGAGGTGGTTTCTGTACTTGCCATCAGTAACACTTTCAGCACACTGAACTGTACTGTGAGTTGCTCCAAGCTAAACCTATTGCAGAGACAGACAAAACCTACCCAAGCAATTCTCTTCTTTTTAAAGTTTGCTTCCTTTTCTAGAAGAGGGCTTCCTTCCTTACTGGCAGAAGAAATATATTAGCTTTTTTTCTTAAAAGTTGTTCATAAAATATATGGCTTTAGTTAATTAAAAAGGGAGGATACATTAGGAGTTACAGGATACAGTGGCTATTTCAGGTTTTAGATTTAATGCCTGTCATAAACAAAGGGTACTTTTTAAAAAATCAACTGGAAGTAAAAGGCCTGATTCGTTCATAATGATGTTCACATACACGGCTGCCTTTCATTAAAACGGAAACTGCCTTATTACAAACAGTACATTTAAACTCAATGTACTTCTTCCTTTAGAACTTCTTTCTCAGAAAAAAAGAAATTAATCAAGTCTTGGCTATCTGATGTGTATGACATTAAGTTTAGGTATACGATGACTTAAAACAACATTTGCAATTAATTTCAAAATCGCTGTTCCATTTGTTATCCTGCACCCAAGAGTGTTTCCATACTGGCTACTTGCACAGGCTGTTAGGCTGCAAAGGTCCTTTTTATTGGCACTAATCATTTTCTACATATTAATAAAACCCATCTGCCATATATGTCTGCCACCCCCACCTTCAGTAGGGTTGGATGTGTTTATACAAGTAAATAAATTTTGTAGTTTTAGCAAATACAATCCTGATCCTGAAATATATCCAGTGAATTTAAGAAATTATAAGGAAACCTGAATTTTGAATATCTGTTATTAATTTATGTTCCTAACTCACTAAAGGAATGTACAATTACTATTCTTGAAAATATTATAAAGAGTTAATACTGAAAACTCATTAGTTACTGAGAGAATACGTTGTGAGTATCACACGCTCACTCCACAAGGGCACCCTGGATGTCAAATAATGAAGACCCCCTCACTTCACACGGACTGTCCGTGATAGAACCCAGTCTAATCTCCTCTGGGTATGAACGCACCAGCATCAGGTACAGAGCGGAAGTTTTCACTGACTGCCGTGTGTAATTTAGTGCTGGCAGCAAGAACAGTGCCCCCAGGTCACAGGCCCCTTCCCTTCTGTACTGGAGTCTAGTGCAAATCTCAGCCGCGGGAGCTGGAGGGCCAAGCATGTGAAGAAGTGGCAGTTCTTAGTGCCCACTGACAAGGCCAGGGTTGCTGTGAGACTGCTCTGTGATGAAAAAGCCCCATCTCACATGAAATCCGATTTGCGGATGGCCAGGCAGTAATACTGCAGCCACCCCTGTATATTACTTACTCTTTTCACTCTTTCTTTGGGGAGTCTGTCTTATACACTCCTTTCCTGCACAGGTCAATATAAAATTTTAAAAAAAAATCTGAGCAATAGGAGACTACAATTAACTAAAATCCAAGCTGAAATACAAGTCAACTATCCCTTCCTCAAACAAAACAAACATTCTGATTTCAATGTACATTTGGGGGTCTTAGTACCTGGGAAAGCTAACTAAAAGGTCTGTTTTGTTCATATTGAGAGGCAAGAAAGAATTCTGAAAACTTACAAATGCCTCAATTTGACTAAAAACAGACATATTCTAGGAAAATGTAAGTCCAAAATGAGGCTTTAGGAAAATTCACATTCAAAATATTGTAAGCCTTCATTATTAGTTAACAAATTATTTCAGTATATGAAAATTGTCTCCTACCCATTATTTAGAACATTTGGAGAAAAAATTTTTAGTGCATAAATTGTACATAAATTAAAGTAATTTATAGTAAATAACAATCCTAGCTACCACAAGATGCAAATAATTACAAGATGCCTCTGGTCTAGAAGCAGGAGGCATGTGCTAGTCCACTTGGACACAAAGTTCCAAGTGCACAAAAGTTTCAGCAGAGGTCCGGGAACACTCTCTGCTGTCCATTACAAATGTAACAAACAATCACAGCAACAGGAATGTCTGAAGTCTTCCTAGAAAGCAAGAAGCAGCCAAATCTTACATGCAACGTTTGTTACTTGCAGACAGAGCAGAATTCTCCTGCAGAATTGCTGGACGGGAAATCCCGTTGAAACCGCCCTGGAGTTCCAAGTGCAGGTGGTCGAGCAGGTAGCGCATGAACTCGTGGGCGTCCTGCTGCTGATGGCCCCTTGGAGCAAACAGAGACCGTCAGTCCCCTGTGCCCCGTGGCCCTGCCGGAGTGGGAGGGCAGCGCGCTGGGAAGGGCTGCCGCGCAGAGCTCAGGGAGGCTCCCTGCTCCTTCCTCCTCACTTTCTCCACGTTTTACACATTAAATTCTCTTCAAGAAAGAGTTCTACAACTTAAAAACAAGTCTGAAAATATGGACTACAACCAGAATTTCCCTCAAAACATATTTCCCTCCTTTTCCTGAAGTTTCTTCTGACAATTATAAATTATGGAAATGATCTGCCTAATCAATGGAACTTAAATCAGAAGTCAATTTAGCATTTCACTGTAAATGTTTCTAAACTATTTAGCAACTAAATATCAACATATGTTCAAGCATTTCTTATAAGATTATTATGAATAAAATGTTAAAATTCACAGTCAAAAGTATTCAAAGTTAATAGTTCCTTTCGATATCCAAGGACGTGCTTTAAACTTTTTCAACACAACTTTTTTTTCATGACTCAAAGGTAAATTAGTATTTCCGGTCACATCTCAAATTCTATCACATATAAAAATGTTTTTTTCTCTTACCAAAATAACGTAATGTCTAAGCATTTTCTAAAATGGATCGTGAAAAACTAGGACCTTGTAGTTACGTCAGTTTGCATTTTCATCAAACACATATCCATCCCTTTTTAAAACAATCTGCCATTGTACATTAACAAGTATATGGACTTGTACTTGTATAAATAATACACATTATGCAAGTATATGGACTTCTACAAGCAATGTACATTGTACATTAACAAGTACATCCAACCACACCATGATTCTCTTGTATCAAAACACATTATTTTCTAATGTTTCCTTTACCACTAAAAACACATTTTTTTAACCTACAGAAGATCATGGAACACTCAGCTGTTTTATAAAGGTAAGTTACAGGCATCTGTTTCAATTTGTGACCTTCCCCAGACAACGAAAAGTCTCCATTTCTAAGACTAGGAACTGTGTTGATTCTGAGCAAATGGAAGCTATTTTTATATAATAATAAAACAGAAAGATTAAATCCCTATCAAGAATCTGAGTAGGTGATTTTTAAGAAATTTTCTATTAAATCCGAGCCTGATTAATGGTAACTTAACAGTAATTTCTACCTTTCCTATTTAGAGTCAAGAAATTCTAAAGTTCTTAAAAATTAGTCTCACCTGAGAGGGGATTTAAATGACATCAAACATAAAAGAAGTTTCCTTCACAACAAAGACCAAGGTAATGAGAGTCAATTACATCTGATCCTCAAGGCTAGACTCTTCAGTAAGGCAACAAATTATAGTCCTTTGAAGTTGTTACCCTTTAAACATTTCTCCAAACTACCAATATATCTAAACCAGTGTTAGGCAATAGAGCCAGATACATTGCTGTTTCAAAGAAGCAGCAGAGAGATGTACATTAGGTGCCAAAACCATGACTAGGAAGAACGACTTGCTTCACAAGGATAAAATCAGCAGAAGGTGGCAAAGGCCACTGTCAAACACCTGCAGGGCCTCAAATCTGCTGACACCTGATTCCCCACAGGGATGACCAGCCTAGGGCAAGAGGGCGCGTCCTCTGACAGCAGGGCTGGCTCTCTGCTCACGCAAGACTCGACAGAGAACACGGAAAACACAGTGACTTCACAGCCACATTAGAAAGTGACCCTGGTCATTGTGTTACCTTCTGGAAAGTGAACCCCAGTGGACTTCACTAGTCTTCTAAGGTCTTCAGAATCCGGAACAGGGAATACAATACCATAGTTTTCTACTGACTACATTTGGAATTTTTTTAAACTTCAAATAACAATACAGTGTATGATGATAATTATAGTTTACAAGATTTTGAAAGAATCAAGGAACATTTGTCTACATTGTTTTCCAAAGGCACATAAATTATTTACAAGGGCTTTGTCTTTATAACAACAAAATGCCTTACCCTCTTGTTAAAGACATTTCTAAGGTCTATCTATTATTTATACAAACACATTTATCCAGTTGGATATACTGAACTTCTGCTCTGCTCCTTTTAAAAACCAACACACAACCACACAAAATCTATGTGACACAGCAAAGGCAGTGCTAAGAGGAAAGTTTATAGCAATACAGGCCTTCCTCAAAAAAGAAGAACAATCGCAAATACACAATTTAACCCACCAGATGAAAGAATTAGAAAAAGAAGAGCAAAAAACCCCACAAGTCAGCAGAAGGAAGGAAATAATACAGATCAGGGAGGAAATAAATAAAACAGAGATTTAAAAAAATAGAAAAAAGTCCATCAAAAAAGCTGTTTTTTTGAAAGAATAAATAAAATAGACAAACTTCTGGCCAAACTCACAAAGAAGAAAAAAGAGCACAAATAAGAAAAATAAGAAAGGAAAATGGAGAAATTACAACAAATAACATAGAAATACAGAATATCATATGAGAATATTACGAAAAACTATATGGAACCAAAACGGATACCCCAGAGGAGATGGACAAGTTTCTGGAAACATACAGTCCACCAAGACTGAATCAAGAAGAAACTGACCACTTGAACAAACAGAGCACTATAAGTGAAATCGAATTAGCAATAAAAACCTCCCTACAAATAAAAGTCCAGGACCGGATGGCTTCACCAGGGATTTCTAACAAACATACAAAGAAGAACTCATACCAGTCCTTCACAAACTCTTCCTGAAGATTGAAAAGGAGGAAACACTCCCAAACGCATTCTATGAAGCCACCATCACCCTGATACCAAAACCAGGCAAAGACACCACCAAAAAAGAGAATTACAGACCAATATCACTGATGAACATAGATGCAAAAATCCTTACCAAAATACTAGCAAATAGAATCCAACATCACATAAAAAAAATTACACATCATGATCAAGTAGGGTTCATCCCAGGGACACAAGGGTGGTCTAACATACACAAATCAATCAATGTAATACACCACATCAACAAGAGAAAGAACAAAAACCACATGATCATCTCAATAGATGCAGAAAAAGCATTTGATAAAATTCAACACCCATTTATGATAAAAACTCTCACCAAAGTGGGTACAGAGGGAACATATCTCAACATAATAAAAGCTATATATGACAAACCTACAGCCAGCATATTATTCAATGGTGAAAACCTCAAAAGCTTCCCACTAAAATCTGGGACAAGACAAGGATGCCCACTATCACCACTCCTATTCAACATAGTCCTGGAAGTCCTAGCCACAGCAATCAGGCAAGCGAGAGAAATAAAAGGGATCCAAATTGAAAAAGAAGAGGTAAAAGTGTCACTATATGCAGATGACATGATACTATATATAGAAAACCCTGAAAGATCCACACAAAAACTACTAGAAATAATCGAAAAATTCAGCAAGGTAGCAGGTTACAAGATTAACGTTCAAAAATCAGTTGCATTTCTTTACACTAATGATGAATCAACAGAAAAAGAAAGTAAAGAAACAATCCCCTTTAAAATAGCACCCAAAGTAATAAAATACCTACGAATAAATCTAACCAAGGAGGTGAAGGACTTATACACGGAAAACTATTAAACACTGATTAAGGAAATTAAAGAAGACTTTAAAAAATGGAAAGATACCCCTTGCTCCTGGAATGGAAGAATCAATATTGTTAAAATGGTCACACTGCCCAAGGCAATCTACAGATTTAATGCAATCCCTATCCAATTACCCAGAACATATTTCACAGAACTAGAACAAATCATATTAAAATTTATATGGAACTGCGAAAGACCTAGAATTGCCAAAACATTACTGAAGAAAAAGAAAGAGGCTGGAGGAATAACTCTCCCAAGACTTCAGACAATACTACACAGCTACAGTCATCAAAACAGCATGGTATTAGTACAAAAACAGACATATGGACCAATGGAACAGAACAGAGAGCCCAGAAAGGAACCCACAAACTTTTGATCAACTAATCTTCGACGAAGGAGGCAAGAATATACAATGGAATAAAGACAGTCTCTTCAGCAAATGGTGCTGGGAAAACTGGACAGCAGCATGTATATCACTGAAGCTAGAACATTCCCTTATGCCATACACAAAAATAAACTCAAAATGGTTCAAAGACTTAAACATAAGACAAGATACAATAAACCTCTTAGAAGAAAATATAGGCAAAACATTATCTCACATACATTCAAAAATGTGCTCCTAGGGCAGTCTACCCAAGTAATAGAAATAAAAACAAGAATAAACAAATGGGATGTAATGAAACTTACAAGCTTCTGCACAGCAAAGGAAACCATAAGTAAAACAAAATGACAACCTACGGAATGGGAGAAAATTTTTGTGAAAGATGAAACTGACAAAGGCTTGATCTCCAGAATATATAAGCAGCTCATATGGCTTAATCAGAAAAAAACAAACCCAATCCAAAAATGGGCAGAAGACCTAAACAAGCAATTCTCCAAGGAAGAAATACAAATGATCAATAGGCACATGAAAAAATGCTCAGTATCACTAATTATCAGAGAAATGCAAATCAAAACTACAATGAGGTATCACCTCACACCAGCCAGAATGGCCATCATTCAAAAGTCCACAAATGACAAATGCTGGAGAGGCCAGGGGGAGAAAAGGGAACCCTTCTGCACTGCTGGTGGGAATGCAGTTTGGTGCAGCCACTGTGGAAAACAGTGTGATTCCTCAAAAGACTAGGAATAGACTTATCATATGACCCAGGAGTCCTGCTCCTGGGCATATATCCAGAAGGAACCCTACTTCAGAAAGACATCTGCATCCCAATGTTCATAGCAGCACTATTTACAATAGTCAAGACATGGAAACAGCCTAAATGTCCATCAACGGATGACTGGATAAAGAAGCTGTGGCATATTTATACAATGGAATACTATTCACCCACAAAAACCGACAACATAACACCATTTGCAGCAACTTGGATGTTCCTGGAGAATGTCATTCTAAGTGAAGTAAGCCAGAAAAAGAAAAATACCGTATGAGACTGCTCATATGTGGAATCCTAAAAACAAAACAAAACAAAACAAACATACGTACAAAACAGGAACAGACTCATAGACATAGAATACAAATGTAGGTTGCCAAGGGGTTAGGGAGTGGGAAGGGACAGATTGGGATTTCAAAATGTAGAACAGATAAACAAGATTGTGCTGTGCAGCACAGGGAAATATATACAAGATCTTATGGTAGCTCACAGAGAAAAAAATGTGACAATGAA